TTTTAGGTAGATTTCATAAAATCTATCTATTGCATTGGCCCTTGTGTCAAAATTCACACAGAATTTCGTTACTATATCAATTATTTAGTCGAGTAAGGCTTAAAAATGACGTTGGTTTGGAAGTTTATATATATATATATATATATATATATATATATATATATATATATATATATAAACTTCCAAACCAACGTCATTTTTAAGCCTTACTCGACTAAATAATTGATATAGTAACGAAATTCTGTGTGAATTTTGACACAAGGGCCAATGCAATAGATAGATTTTATGAAATCTACCTAAAATCAGTATTAATATTAAATATATAACAATCTGAAATTATATAAAAAATAACTAATAGCTATTTAACATAATTATATATTTACGAATGTATTTTAAATTTTTATTTTCTTTATTTAATTTTGCAATTTATTACCCATAATATTATTTTTTAACCACAAACTTTACTAAAGGATAAAAATTTAGTCCTGGCTGAACATATGAGAAATGTTGAGCATCAGCTATCCATTTTTTTCGCTGATTTAATTTCTAATTGGCAACCGGAAACTTATAAAATTTACAATTACTATTTCTACTAGTATTTTTACAATCAACTACACAACAATTTTGATGACCCATTATATTTTATTTATTTAATTAAACTAACACACGTGTTATTTTCATAGCTTATAGTAATAAAGAGCCACCCTTAGTTCTGTATTGTCCGCAGCGGACGCTGATATCAGTTTTGTGTCCCCCACTATGCCTTACGCACCCAGCGAATAATAAGAACAACTTTTTTATTTATTGTTGTAAATATTATTTTATATATTATTTAGGCGAAAATCGATGAAGACAATGAACAACAAAAGACATTGGAGAAACCGGAAATAGTGGAAGATTCGCGTACGCGTGTGACCAGTAGTGCTATCCCGTTACCACAAGAAGATCATCAGCATGAAGAGGCCATAGTGATAGTGCCACCGGCTCCAGCGGACGTGCTTCCGACTCTTGTAGGTGGGGAAGACAAGGATCCAATTGCACGCCAACGTCGGGACAAAGTTAAAGAGGTAAGCCGACACTAATTGAATGAATTTTTATTATCGCTCCCTATTTTTACACTCTTTCAGCTTCCATTTACTTCCCCATGACATAATATTGTTATTTACTGCAATATTTTACAGATTTTCAGTGATATATTATCAAATTACTTACGCCAATGGCTTTTAAATTTATTTGACCTCTTTTATGGTTTGTATCTATGTCATTTCATTTCAAACGCATTCGCATCAGTTATTTTTATATTAATCAATGGTTTTTATTCATTTCAAAGAAGTCAAGGCTTATTTGAATACATATTTTACTGGGTTATGCTTTTTAACTTTTTATTATTGATCTTCTTTTTTGAAATAACATTTTTCAATTTTATTACTTAAGAAGTGGTTCCAGCTATTACAGGTTCATGAATTTTCCCTAAACAACGAAAAATTAAAAAAAAAAAATACTGTGATCCTCGATAGATTTAAAATTTTTATTTAAATAATTATCATTGGTTTACAAAATATATACATTTAACTAAGAGTTAAGAACATCCAAAAGTACAAGCCTTATAAAGTTCATTTAATGTTTAATATCCATAAAATAAAAATACATGAGTATTTAATGTTAGTCAATAGTTGAAACTCGAAAAAAACGGGACATGATTCATCATTGGTTAAAATCAAGACGCGCGTTATTAAAATTTCTATAAACTACTTTAAAAATCATATTTAAATTTTGAATTAAAAAAAAATCAATTGAATCAGTAAAGAAATTTTTTTCTTATCAAAAAACTAACATTCAAAGAAGAAAATTTTTACAAATCGATGTAATTTTCATGGTCATTGCTATTTGAAAAAAAAAAAATCTGCTAAATTTAAAAAAAAATTTGTATCTTATAATTGGCTGGTATAAAAATTGGAAAAATTATTGATATATTTTTCAAGGGGCGTAAAAAGATTAAAATGATAGCTACACGGAAAAAAAAGTATTGCTATTATAGTGATCCAGTGGATCGTGAACGCAGTATTGTGATTAGCTCAAAACAGTATCATCATTTTCACGATATTATAACTTGATATACTCTATACTTCGGATTCTTATATTAACTTTCCATGGTATAGTGAATATGTCAAAACGTATTGCGATCATAAAGAAACGTTTCCTTACTACGGCGAAATAGATCGTAATTATCACAATCCACGACGCCTTCAGCGCCACCACGCATAACCGAATCTGAAACTCTTACGAGTAGATTTGTTTACAATTTTGGTGATGAAATAGTGATAATTACATAAATTAGTTAATTAATGTTAACAGCGATATGGATGATTGGGTTGTTGATAAATTACTCGAGTGTAATCTTGAAAAACTTGTGTTTTTGAAGGCTAGTAAAGAAATAAATCTTCCTATGTTAACTGTGTTAATGTTGTGTCCGTGGTTATTGTATATAATTATACTGCGTTGATAAGGAGAAACAATGTACATTATATATTGTATTAAATAAATAAAATTTTTGTTTTCATAAAAGTCTTTTTTAGCATAAATGATTTGATTGCATACTATTTTATACAAAAAAATATAACTGTATGGAGTACGTTCAGTAATAAAGGAGTAAAAATTCCATTAAAAAATTTTTTTCTTATGACCAAAATATTTGGCTCTTTTAAATGATTATTTCGATAATACAAATTTCTATAGGCTAATAATATTTGTAAAAATAAAAAAAAAAGTTATATAAGATGAAGTCCAACTGCTGTAAGTCATTATTTAAAAATTTTTTAACCTAACCCTCGCAACCTTGAGTTCACCGTGGAAACACCGTGGAAATCCTGTGTTTGTAGGAACACCGTGTAATCTGCGCAGTTTCCACGGAGAATTTGTTCCATTTTTCCACGATATTTCCACGGTTGTTTTTCGTTAGACCTACGGCGTTTACACACCAAATCAATGATGAAAACACGATGAGTAACCACCATATATATATATATAATATATATAAATGTATGACATATATGAAAAATTGATGTGGGTACTCAAATGAAAGGTCTCGATGAGTGTAATATCGGGGTGAGTTTATATCTTTAAAAATGTTAATAGTTAACAAGATAAAAGGTCATTTCTTAATTATGTGTCTAGAAATGGAGCAATTTCGAATGTAGCTTAAATACTTATCATGATCAATTGGCTGTCGATGAGAATGATATGAAACCTTGAAAAGGCGCAAATTCAAGTCAAGACCTTTGCAATGACACTAAATTTCACTGAAAAAACCGATTTTATCATATGACTATCCTGGAGACAAAATTCTTGTTATTCTCTCAATAATATAGATATACTTTTTTCAATACTCACTTTTATGTCAAACATTAGAATGTTATTATATTCTGACTCTAAAATCGAAAAAGTTTAGTTTTTTATACTTCCTGTGTAGTTTTTATATGATTACAATCATGATGATTTTAACTATCTCCGATGGTAAAAGTTACCATCTAGATAATAAACCGTATCATCATAATTGTGGGAATTAATATATACTGATTGTACTAATTACAATCACCGGATAGTTGCATTTATCATCTTAACTTTGCAAAAGTTAATAACCATCCTGGATAGTAGAAGCTACAAAATAGGGATGGTTACCGTTTAACATAAAATTCTCTTCGTGTAGCAATAGAGACACTCGATATCCGAATCCATGTGGATCGTGATAATCACGATCCACTAGATCGGGCATATGCACATCTAAAGTATAGTCATACGACGATCGTGATCATCACTATACTGTATCGTGAAAATAGCAATACTTTTTTCTCCGTGTAAATATCAGTAAAATCAAAGATGCAAAAGTTGACGATTGAATGATTTGGCATGGAATATGACCCATATTTGTCAATGACGAGACACACTAAACACATATATTATACTATAAATTTAATTCACTTTCTCTTACTCTGACATGCAAACGTTCTCTAATAGTTTCGGTCGAAGCATTATAGTTTTCCTATATTGTGATTCTCAGATTAATTCTTTTATCTGTTATTCTTATTTTATTCTGATCCTATCGCTGGCACGTTATGTAGAGTAATAATGGCGCTAAATTTAAATTTGCCCGCGAGCTGTTCAATCTCGCAGCACGGTATGGACCACTTTGCATGCAAAACGACTTGATAAAAATAAAATGTTGAATTATACGAGCACACTTTTGTTGTGTATGTTAAATTATTACAGTAATATGAATTTTAGCGTAAATGATAACTTTTAAATTTGTTTTCTAATTCTAATTTTTTGAATATACAATTACTTTTTTTTTTGTGTATTTTTTATTAACTTAGCGTTGTTCAAAATTGAAATATTTAATAAACAATGCAGGAATGCAAAGTTATGTGAACGTTTTTTCCAATTTTTATATCAATTTACATCGGAATAAACTTGTTAAGATAAATAAAAAAAAAAAGTTTTTAATTTGACTGACGTGTTTTAACAGTTTGCCGTTAGTTGTCACTGATTGCGAATACTTGTTGTTTCATCGCAAAACTATTGTTCCGAGAAACCAAAGCGAACGTGTAGGTATAACTGAAATAGCGCCTTCGATAGTGTCAGTACACGAACAAGTGTATGCACGTGCATCAGTCAATGAGTTAATGTATATACGTTTGTTCCCACCGTTTTCGTTTGCACATCGTCATCGTGGGTGACAAATTAAACTACCGAATGTCGAATTTCATTTAAAAAATGAATGGAAATTTTTTTAGCATTTACGCGTTCAATTGCCGCTAGTTTTATGTAAGTATCTATTTTTCATTTTTTTTTTTTAACGAAAAATTTACATTTTACAATAAGGATACATTTTTCTCTTTTTAACTATCGGGATTATGGAATTTTGGAAAACATAAAAATTTCCACAGCAGTTTTGAGTGGCTATACAATATTCAACTAATTAAATTTAAAAACTATACTTGATATTAATGGAACAAAGTAATTTTGAAAAACAAAAAGTGTAAATGTGACGTTATGTTCAAATAAAACAACGAAGAGTATTAAGTAGAGTGTTGTTGAAGTCCAATTAAAAGTTAATTTGTTTACTTGCTTAATTAAAGTTAAAAGAGCATCAATAGTAGTTAAAAGTAAATATATCATTGAAATAATAGAGCACAAAGTACTTCAATTTAATATGATTGCTAAGCACTTAGTACATGGTAGATGCAGGTCAAATAGTTTTGGTAATTATACAATGTGATAAACCGCTTTTGTGTTTACAAATCCATTGAATGAGACTGGCTGATTCCAAAGTTTAGATGTATAGAAAATATAGATACACGTAACAGTACTCGGTTAGGTGATGATGGTATATATTGATTATTTTTCGTTCTTTTTAACACAGGCAGTTTGAGTTTAACTAAATATATTTTTATGTACAATGGCTCTAGATTATTGTTAAATTCTTTGAAGTCAATAACTTCAATAAACTTGATTCATGATTTGAGTGACAAGAACTGATAACTTTGTTACGAAAAAAAAGTAATTACTAAAATCATTAATTATTGCATGACGTATGTTTAATTCTAGATAAATTTTCTATTGATTACAAACTCACACGTAAGAATAATTTCTGAATGAATAATAGATTGCCCAGAACAACTCTGAATTCTAGGTCTTAGGTGAATTTAAAACTTTGAAAGTTACTAATTGTTTATCCGTACATCAAATCGAGATGGTGGGATGAGTCGTAAATTTTTAAGATCTTCATTAAAAATTTATCAAGATTTTTCGATCCTTTCTGTCCTTTTCTCGTTTCTAAATTTGTCCTTTTATTAGTTTATGAAATCATATGTCTAATTTATTATTATTTTCAGAACTTTTTAGCCGTGTAATATCGATTTTATAGAGGTATTACTGCACCTACAATTATAGTATTTCCTCTTTTTTAAGTTAGAAAGATATATATTTCTCGAAATTCTCTGAATATTTCTATACTTTTTGAATAAAAAATTACAATTTTCTGCTTTAGACTGCACTCCAAAGGTGAAAAATTTATTTTCGGTATTGCCATCCATCATAAGATCGAACCCATCCGAACATTGCTCATTATTTGACCATAAGATGCTTCCTCTTTATATTTAAACATATTTAGCATAAATAA